TTAGATAGATAGATAGATAGATAGATAGATAGATAGATAGATAGATAGATAGATAGATAGATGTGTTGATTCTGTAGATCTGAACATGAGATAGATAGATAGATAGATAGATAGAGATAGATAGATAGATAGATAGATAGATAGATGATGTGTTGATTCTGTAGATCTGAACATGAGACAGATAGATAGATAGATAGATAGATAGATAGATAGATAGATAGATAGATAGATGTGATGAGATGTAGATCTGAACATCTGAAGATTAGAATATGTTAAATAGATATGATAGATAGAATATGTTAAATAGATAGATAGATAGATAGATAGATAGATAGATGATAGATATGTGTTGATTCTGGAGATCTGAACATGAAATAGATATATAGATAGATAATGAACTAAATCAGGTTGATACAAATAGACAAAAAGTATTCATATATATATATATATATATATATATATATATATATATATATATATATATATATGGTCTCTATAACAAAGATCATGTTTTGTGTAAATATAATAATATTTTAAAAGTTTTGGCATAATGTTCTCAATATCAGAAGATAGTATTATTAGCACTAAACAAAATGGCATATTCAACATGTAGGATTTTCAGTTCTTCTCTGAATGTTCTGAGCTGTGTCTTGTGATGTAAAGGATAACGTCCCGGAATTAGAAGCCAGAAAGCTGAGTTCGAATTCCAGTCGAGTTCGTTATTTTCACATATTTACAGATATTCTTGAGACAGCTATGAATCCATCTCCGAAAGCTATCAGTTGAATCGCTGGACAGATTGGGTCCTATAGCCCTGTATGGCAACTAGTATACCGCAGGCAGAAACGGCAACCGACTCTGTGAAAATGTTCTGTCTCCTCAGTTATTAATCGAATGACAACTGATTGTCCTAACGTGTATCACTTAACAGACTTCTGTTCAACTTATTTGTCCCTACTCGGAGTTTTACGGATAGGGTATCCACTTTTCAGGTTCCTTGATAGTAAAACTGAATTTGTTATTAATAAATTAAACTTTATAAATAATTTCAGTTTTACTATCATCCCCGCCCAAGTGGATACCATATTCGCGAAACTCCGAATAGAGACAGATGAGTTGAACATTTAATTTTATTTCTTGCTATAGATAGATATAAACAGATTTACATATTTTGATAGATAGATAGATAGATAGATAGATAGATAGATAGATAGATAGATAGATAGATAGATATAACTTGACTGTAGAACTGAACGTGATGAGATAAAGAGATATGCCTTCAGTCTGAATATCAGAACATGATAGATAGATAGATAGATAGATAGATAGATAGATAGATAGATAGATCTTCACTGTGAAGATTAGAACAAGATAGATAGATAGATAGATAGATAGATAGATGACGGCGTTATAACATTTTATCATTGTTATCTTAAATATATCTCTGTAAAGTCAATTGCAGTTAATTGGTTAGATAAATGTACGAACAACAGCAAATCAACCAATGATAGGAGAGAGTATATTTCAACGTAATGTAGTACAAACATTTCTACTCCCCCGGGGCAGATCCTAATACAGAACAATTTCTAAAATTGAAAGCATCTGTATGTTCATCCTTTTACATATAATCCGCTATTGTGTCATTGTACTCATAGATAGATAGATAGATAGATAGATAGATAGATAGATAGATAGATAAAAACCATGAAATAGATATGAGCAACATGAGATAGAAAGAGAGAGATATAAGAACAGTATGCGACAAAAAAATAGATAGTGAGAGAGAAGAAAAGTATGCAGCAGATAGATAGATAGATAGATAGATATTCGGCAGCTTCCGAAGTTTCATTAATCCAGTTTCACTTGCAAAGCTCTGGTGAAACCATGGTATGGTTTTCAGACATTTCCGAACGCACTGAGTTCGTCTCGTCAGTACAAGAAGTTAGCTTCTTGACAAACATAACATACCCTGGTGAGATTTGAACTCGGCTCTCGTGAATTCAAATCTCAATCTATCAAGGAGCTAACGTTCTTAAGAGTTGGACAGGCACCCAATACAGATAGAATATGTACAAATAGCCATTTTAGTCATGGCGGACCAGGCTTTAGTTACGCGAATTTACACCTCTTTTTAGGTAGAATTTATTTCGATTCCTGAGTCTGTAAAAGATTTAACAGATTTTAGCAATTCAATATAAACTGAGACAGTTTATATTGAGCCTTGCTGGTTGAAGCCTATGAATTCAGATTTAGAGACATTGACACAGAGTCCAACATCATTGACAACATTTTCTAGATGATGTGGAACTGTTCTAATGGTAATGGTGTCTTCATTGATAGCTAGCTTATCTGTATAGTCAATATCTGTCAACATTTTTGCAGGATATCGACTTGAGAGTCTTGGTGAAAAAGTAAAATCTAGAAGATGATGTTTGTCGAGGGAAGTTCTCAATACGTAATCAAGGGTGATAACAAACGGAAAAAAGTTCAAGGGTGTCCGCCTGTAGGACTCCTGCTTTGATATCGAAGAAGCTAGAGTCTCCGTCTGGGGATCTAACCAAACCAAATAGAATAGATGTAATCTAGAAACGGAGATTCTTTCGGGCCACCGTAGAAGTTGTTTTTAATGTATTCTGCCATTGCTTGGACATTAACTAACACCCTTGAGTCAAAAATTAATGAAACCTACACTCGTATATACATACACGGACAGGCGTACATACACACACGCACACAGACACACACACGCATACACACACGCATACACACACAAGGAAGAAAAAATTAACTTAAAACCAATAAAAAGGGAATAAACAATTATTTTTTCACTTAAGATAATAATAACAAAAATGAGAAAATTAGCAGTCAATTCCTGATACCTACTGACGAGTGGATGGAGGGATTACAAAACAGAGTAGTCTACAAAACTCTTCAGTCGGAATGCTAAATCAATCAGCTAAGTGACACTTCTCATATCAGTATTAATCCTATATATATATAGAGAGAGAGATATAGATAGATAGATAGATAGATAGATAGATAGATAGATAGATAGATAGATAGGATTAATACAGATATGAGAAATTATCCTATATATATATATATATAACAGTTATGACTTTTTGTAAAATAATTGTCTTCCTGTATCAAAATTCTATGAACTTTTGTGAAAAATAATTTAGGGTTTAATTAATTAATTATATATATATATATATATATATATATATATATATATATATATATATATAGGATTAATACAGATATGAGAATTGTCCTTAGCTGATTTTATATATATATATATATATATATATATATATATATATATATATATATATAGGATTAATACAGATATGAGAATTGTCCTTAGCTGATTTATATATATATATATATATATATATATATATATATATATATATATATTATGGTTATGACTTTTTGTGAAATAATTGATTTCCTGTATCAAAATGCTATGAACTTTTGTTAAAAATTTTAATTCAGTTTTTAAACTCAGTTTAACTTTTTTTTTTAAATGTCACCTAGAACGCGAAAGTTCTAAAATCGTATATAATTACAGCAGTACAATGATTTTCTGGAGACTTCTATAACTTTATGGAACCTTCTAGAACTTAATTTTATTTATTTACAAGTTTATATGTTACGCTATAGCTATAAACTGTTAAATGCATTAAAATTACTTAAGTACTATCCAATTGCATCATTAGAAAATTAAAAAAATATAGCTTCTGATATATTTTGAATTTTTATCCATATTGCGTATATGGTAAAATCGAATTTTCGGTTTGGGAGTGACCTTTTTCAAAAACTAAAACAAGTTAATGCTTTTTTCATTACTTTTTGAACAAAAGTTCATTGATTTATGACACAGGAACATAGGGTTACAAAAAAAAATAACTTTATATATATATATATATATATATATATATATATATATATATATATATATATATATATATATATATATACGGGTACACACATATCTATATGTATGTATGCTGTGATTTGAATAATCAGTTGGCCACAAATTTATCATAGATGGAATTCACAATCAAGAAAAGTGGAAATGTTCGGTTTTCAGCTGGAGTTTCAACTGGGCCATGGCCGCCCGAGCGAATCATGTGGGAATAATTAAGCAATCTAATAGCAATGTGAAGTGCTCGACTTCACACATGAACAGTCGACAATTCGACAGACATTCCGACCTTTTTATGGCTGCCGCAGACGACGGTAGCGACCTAGTCGGTAAGGAGTTTACGTCATTTCCGGCAGCGATTTTAGAGCAAATGCTACAGACTTTTCACGTCTTAGCCTTCTTTCTTTCTTTCTTTCTTTCTTTCTTTCTTTTTCTTTCCTTCTCGTTCTTTCTGCCTTTATTTAATCATACTCATTCTTTTTTTACTTCCATATCTTCATTATTTATTTATTTTTATGTATTTTATTTATTTTCTTTGTAAATGTATCTGTTTCCTTTATTTTCCATTATTGTTTTCTTTTTCTTTCTTTTCAGTTTTCTTTCTTTTCATTTTTCTTTCTTTTCATTTTCCTTTTGTTTTCATTTTTCTTTCTTTTTGTTTTTTCTTTCTTTTCGTTTTGTCTTTCTTTTCATTTTCCTTTTTTTTCATTTTCCGTTCTTTTCATTTTTCTTTCTTTTTCATTTTTTCTTTCTTTTCGTTTTTGTTTCTTTTCATTTTCCTTTCTTTTTGTTTTTCTTTCTTTCATTTTCCGGTAACGACACGCATATCTATATGTATGTATGCAGTGAAAAAAAGAAAGAAAAATGGAAAGAAAATGAAAAGAAAGAAAAGAAAAAGAATTTTTCTTTTCTTTCTTTTCATTTTCTTTCCATTTTTCTTTCTTTTCTTTTTTTTTTCGTAGATCTTTGTTACCGTCTTCCTCTTTCGTCATTTCTTTAATCATTGTTTCTCTTTTCTCAATCTTTTCTTGATGATTTCTCGTTGTTGTTCTTTTCTATCTTTGTCCGTTTTTTCTCTTTTTTTACCTTTTCCCGCTTTTTTGCCTAGTTTTCTTTGTATTCTAATTTCTTGCAATACATACAATTCTTAACTTCCATGCCACTAACGTCTAACTCTGACGTCGTGGACTAATATACTGAAATGGGAATCATTACTTTTTGAATGATTCTCGTATTACAAGGGTAAGTCAAAAATTATCCGCATTTCGACATAGATTTGTTACACAGCGTTCTGCTCGTATGTGCTTATAGTTGAAACTATTGTGGTTATGTGATCGACATTTGAACTTGATTAAGCCAGTATTTATGTTGCTGTTACAGTGTAAACATGGCCGCTCCACTAGCAGTGTGTACACTGGAGTAACAAAGAGCAGTGATCCGAATTCTCTGGACGGAAGGTGTGCCAGCTGATGGAATTTACCGGCGGCTTTTAACACAATATGGCGACAGTGCATTACTCCGTAGACGGGTGTATGAGTGGATCGAGAAGTTTTAAAGTGACCGGACAAGCTTAACGCACGAAGAAGAAGCAAGGCGCCCCATAACCTCCACCACAGCTCGAGAGATGGTAATGGCCAACCGGCCTGTTATCATCGATGATGTCGCACGTTCTCTGTAGATTCGGATCACTGCATTAAAACTTTTTAAAAAAATAAAGACAGTTCTTGCAAAAAAAATTTTTCTTAAGACAATAGTTTCCATAATATATTTTATTCATATAAGCAATTAAAAGCTTTTATAAATAAATAATGTCTTAGTTTTATTGCATTTCTTATTTTACGATTCAGAGCAGATTTTGGGTAACTGGGGTCCTGTTTTACAAAAGGAAATTGATGATTTAAATTCTCCAAGGTGTTCTGTTTTTGAATCATATGAACATTAATCTCTACAAAATTTAATTTCTCGAAATTCGTAACATTAAATAAGTAGAGGTTAAAAGATGCAAAAAATATATTTTTACGAAGAAATTAGATTATAAATTAGAAAATAAAACAAAAACATTTCGAAAATAATTTCCTTCGTTTGTGAATAAATCCTGAAAACTTCATTTAAATCCGACAATTAGTTGATTTTTGCAAGAATTTCCAAAACAATGTTTTTCACCGCAAAAAAAGGTTTCATTTTTCAAAATTAATGTTAAAAATGAAAGATTTCGAACGTTCTAAAAAGGATTAAAAAAATCTAATTTAAGAATCAAAAAATCCTTTAGTCTTTCCTCTTAATAATAACATAACGATTTTGACTATAAAACGTTGTTTTTAAGCTTGGGACATTTTTCTAATTTGATTGCTAATTTTTAGCGAATCACTTGTGGTACCAAATTAAAACTATTCAAAATTTTCTTTCGCAAGAGAAGAAATAATCTGATGAGATATCACTCCCTAAGAAATACACAGTCTAAACCTCCTGCCTATGAAAATAATAAAACATTCAAATATTACTAATGAGGAAATTTGGATGGTAACACTATAACGCCAAGTGCCAACAGTTAATATTTTTCTGTTACTAATTGTTTACATTTTGTACAAAAAATTATAAATTTTGAGTTAAAAATATTTAAAATAAATAAATGTGTAGGTTAGGTTGGTTAATCTTGTATTGTATAGCTAGCCACTCGTAGTCGAGGGTACCTGTCTACTAGGGCGGCTAGCCAATCCCTATTGCAGACGCTCGCTCAGGCACATTTTGTGTTTGTTCAACATCCACAGAGCCCACCTGTGGTTTATACTGCAACTATGCTGAGCAGACCTTCGTTACAGTTTCTGGGAAAGAAAGTGTTATCTAGCGGGATCAACAATTTGAACAAGGTCAAGCCCTCAGCCACAATGACTTTTGACTCCGTGCTAGCACAGCTATCGACAGCCACCAAGTTCTCTCTAGATAATTTCACTCGCAAGGCTTGGATCAACTCGTCGTATGGTTTTCAGGCACTTTCCAAAGGTGCCACATGCTGGGATCGACCAGAAAGTCTCCTTCCTGATAAATCGACCATGGTGAGTTTCGAACCCGTGTTTCAGAATGCGAATGTTCTAAACACTCGGCTACGATAACGATATATCAACTCATGTTGGATCATTGGATGTCGAATACAAATTTTATAGAATCAAAATTATAATAAAGTAATAGCTAGACAGATATAAGTCTACTCTAGACTCAATTAAAAAGGGTAGACTTAGGTCCGGTTTATACGAAAATGTAAAAGCCATAGAACTACTTTTGAAAAAGAAACAAGTGATCGTTAATGACTTCAGTGCGAGAATAACCAATTGTTTGGTCATGAAACCCAATAAAATCTTTTATGGCGATAATAATGGTTTTGTTGACCCAAGTTTTGCTAATTAAACTATATTAGGGATGTTTTTCTACTTTTGTTCTTGTAACGGCATTCACCCGGGGTGGGTTGAGCCGGCTCCAATATTGGAGTTTAAGGGGAATTTGGAATTCACAAGCGGTCCCCAAACCCGCATGTATAAGCTTCAGATCAGTTCCCAGGAAACCGACAGCCCACCAACAGCACATGAGATTTGATTATAGTGGTGAAGGTTTCGTGTAGGACCATCCACACTTTTTGAAGGAGCGATTACAGAGACCTGGTGCACTACGTGCCACAAGGTCCCCAAACAACCCTCCGCAGGTTTTGAATTCAGAGTTTTCCTTCTTCTAGACCAGTTGCCATCCAAGGCTATAGAACCCAGTCTGTCCTGCTATTTTACCCATAGCTGGAGGGAGAAGAAGAAGATTCATACCTTTCCCAAGGGTATTAGCACATAATTGAATGTAATGGATTAAACTGGAATGGATATTGGGGATGGGGAGAAGAGGTGGATTCCTATCTGTCCCAATTGGTATTTGCGCATAAGTAAATATAACGAACCAAACGGGAATTCGAACACGGCTCGCCGATTAACAATTCTGAGCCATTATCCATTACACCACCCGCACATTCAAAGTTAACGAAATTCTGATATTCCCAAGTGGTCACTTATCTAGGTACTGACCAGGCTCGACCTTGCTTAACTTCCTAATCGTACAAGAACCGGTGTGTCAATATTTTTCATTTTGGTCTTGTTATTGTGTTAGTTGAAGAATAGGCGAGAATAAAAGATGAAGAGTATTAAATGATAGTAATACTAGTACTACTACTACTAATAATAATAATAATTTAGCATAATAATGGTGTTGATAAAAATGTCAACTAATAAGGAATATATTATCTGTGACTATAAAGTGATCAGAATGAGTATAATAATAATAATGACTATAAAAGTAATAATAGTATTAATAAAGAAGGAAAAGTTGAAAGAGAAAATTCCCTAAATAAGTATGCAATAAATAAACATCTATATACATGAATATACATGGTTATAAAATAGTAATGAAAATGAACACATAAAGGAATATCATAAGCATTGTATAGTCAGATTTTGTTCAGCTATTCACATGAAAAAAGTTGTTATTTTTGTAAAAAGTATAATTATTGAGAATTCCTGGGTCTTTATTTAATTGTAAATTGTGGGTATTAAATTTGATAATGAAATTACTTTCAGCCTTAGTAGGCATCCGTTTATCGCGCGAGGTGAAGATAACCTCCTGTTTGGTCAAGATTGTCGAAACGAAAGTGACCTCTACAGGTGATGTTATTTGGAGGCCGTGAACTGCCCACACTACATGCCCCCACCCATTTTTGCCGTACTGACAAGACCCAAAGGAATACAGAGCATTACATTTAGCGACGGATTTGCTGCAAGAGTTTCCAGTGTTGACAGGTTTTGGGGGCTCCACTCCAGGTTTTCTGTCTGGATTTACTTCATAGCCTTTTCCGTGTTTAGCTATGACCGCATTTCATATATTCAGCTTTAATACCAGTTTATATATATATATATATATATATATATATATATATATATATATATATATATATATGTCTCTATGTGTGTATGCATGTGTGTGTGTGTGTGTGTGTTGTGTTTGTATGTGTATAAAATATATATTTAATTTTTGCTTGCTTAAATATATGCATGTTTGTGTATGCATTTATGTGTTTATACATATGCACATCGGTGTATGTGTGCGCACAGAGCGCATGCGCACATATATAAATTTATAAATTTAAGAGAATATATATTGAGAGAAAGAGAAACACATGCGCACACGAGAAACACATGCGCATGCGTATACACATATGTAGACATAACGAGAAAATGAACACACAGAAAGTCTTAAGTAAAGAGGGTCTTTTAATGGACGATATTTTTTTCATTTCACACTTCTTATTTGATGGATCTAAAACCGAACAGACATGAGCCTCCAGCTCCTTATCAATTCTCCACTAGGGTTTTTCTTTTCCTTAATTTCTACACTCTAACTTGTAGACGCAAGCTTAGACGTCTTTTCTTATACTGGCTAGCTACCACTACCACGTCTAACCGTCATAATACCGGAGACTCCCACTCCACGTCTTTCTGCTCTATAGTTCACACAGACTTCGCTCAAGTGTGGATTGCAGATGTGATATCCCTGTTTTCCGGAAGTCAGAGGCTTGACTGTATGTAAAGAAAGAAAGAAAGAAAGAAAGAAAGAAAGAAAGAAAGAGAAATGGAACGAAAAATTAAACGAATTAAAAATAAGAAAGACTGAGGAAAAGAAAAAAGGAAATATTATAGAATTAATTTTTCAATGTAACTGAAAACTTAATGACAAACATGGAAAGAAAGGAAGGAAAAGGGAAAAAAGAAGGAATTTTTTGATGAATTAATTGGAAAGAAAAAGAAACAGAACAACATTTTTCATTGAGACGGAAAAAAACTAATTAAAAATAGAAAGAAAGAAAGAAAGAAAGAAAAAAAGAAAGAAAGAGTAAAAGATAAATATTATAGATTGAATTTTTCGATGTTACGAAAAACCTAATGAAAAAAGAAAGAAAGAAAGGAGGAAAGTTAA